ATGCGTGAGGAGCACATAGTTATTTAAATTAGCTTCAAAATAAAAAAAAAATTATTGAAAGCTTTTTTAAATCACCTATAACGTGTCTATAGAGGATAAAAGCGCCGAGAAAAATTTGCAGAACATCTTTCAGATAATTTAAAAATGCACTTACTTATATATCTTTGAGGTGAGGATCTTCTATTTATGCTGCCAATTCTTCAGACAGGAATTAAGTATATTTTTATTATCATCGATAAATTTGACTTTATGAAGTTCACATAAACGCCTGAGACGGACACGGAAGGACGATACTCGAAAATACGCCAGCTGTTGAGCCTTCGGCAACGTGCTTTTGTTAGCTGTTTTGCAGTGTGAAATACTGGGTTGCAGGGTATGCGAAAAAACACTGTGGTCACACGATATAGCGGAAGGCAAATACACGAAAGGGGCAGAAGTAAGGAGATGACACGCAATTTTTATCTAAATAATCCCTTACACAACGCTTTACTGCAAAAAGAGATGCATAGAAATGCAGAAAATGATATTCCTAATTAAACATAGATTCCGCGCAGGGCAAACGAAGATTTTTAGAACCGTAATATAAATCACTTTTGGGCATCAGCTTGCCTCAGCTCGAAACGTCGCGAGATACTACCTCGGGAGGCTAATGTTATCTTAGGTTTTACGTGCACTTGTTTTGGGACCTTACCTCACGACTCTGTTATCAGTCATGTGCACCAACATTTCATTAGACTGCCGTATATCATGGCGAGACTGCTATAAATACTACACAACTTTACACCTTGGACGTCTACTGCTGGCGTTGCGAACGTCGCACTTCACCAGAAAGCTGAAGTATTTAACATGGTTTGCATGTGACGTAGTCACACTCTGGTTGTCATTGCGAGTTGTTCTTGCTGAGAAAATCAAATCCGGTGGGGCAAAATGCACGCTGCAAAAGTTTCGCGCTCAGTACAAGCTATGTATTTGAGAGGCACACATTTTTCTTGTTGGTGCATCGTCGTTAGGCACGGCGCGAGTATCTGGCACGACAAAAACGTGCTTTCTGGCAAGAGTGTTTTTACAAATAAAAGTGTTACCAACTACCCATCTGTCACTATCGTTTCCAGGCCACGCTTTCTAGTCTGCGCCGAAAATGCGGGCCAGAGGAATCTTTACGACACAGAATGCTTTAAAACTACCCCCCTCCCCACTCCCCTTTTTTTTAGTTGCTCCTCAAGATACTTTTTATTCCTCAGGGATTGCCTGCTCCGTATTGAGTGGTGTTCACTCGACAATTATATTTGTGTCACTTGTTAACAGTAATTCTTCCTTGCTTTTACTTTGCACCAAACTGTGAAGGTTAAACAAAATACAGGGCGGTCGAAACTTGGAGAACTTGAGAACGACACTCCTGTGAGACTTAGAGCGGCTGCAAACGTTCGGCTATCCCCGTGAGGCCAGTAGGACCTTTCTTCTCAAGTATCCCTCCCGTACACACTAATAGTTCCATGTAACGTCGGACTAATACGTCACATTTAGACCCTTTAACACTTCTATTCTCGGGACAACTTTCTGATGCAGTTCAGCAATAACGAAAACATGTTTGGGAGCCTCAATGGTGTGCATACATGTAAAATGGGTCGTGCAGCATTTTTTTTTTTTTTACCTTAAGTTCAAAAATTACCGCTAAGATGTAATCCCTGACGTTGATATTTTGCAAAAGCATCCATTAGTTTGCCCCTCGGCGAAATGGCAGACAGTCGAAAGAAAGAAATGAAACAGCTTTCCCCTCCTCAACCCGCAATTAGAACTATCAGCCACGTGATCTGATCCTAATATATACACCGTCAGTGTTTATCATAGTCGTACGCAGGGTTGGCAAAGCAGAGAGCATGGGCTGATCTTCAGATATAGTTTTAGTAGGGCTATAATGCCCGAGCCCCACTAAAGCGACAAACAGAAACAAATGACAGCGGCTAGCCTTAAACCAGAGTACTCGCGATTTGACAGGCTTTGTAGAATAAGGGAGGCTATTCTCAAACACGAGTATCATGCACACGATGGTACCATTTGCAGGCTTTAGACGCTCGTGCTAACTTCGCGAGCACCGAACAACTCAAAGCCGTATAGAGGTACCATCGCGAACATGCTGCATGTGTCTGAGGCTTATCGCTGTTGTTTGTTTCTGTTTCTAGCTCTAGTGGGACTCGGGCCCATCATAATCTTTGAGTTGAACACGAGCCGTTACCCGAATGTTTGGCGATGCTGGTTGTCATGAACCAGAGCATTCAACTCGGGATCATGACAATAGGGTACATCATGGTGTCACGTTACTCTCAGTGCGAAGTTGTGATGTCATGTGACGTCACGGTATCAACAACGTTAATAGATCTAGCGATTTGAATCGACTTAACGCGGTGAGTCACGTGACGTCAAGGGGTCACGTGATGTGACATTACTTGACAGCATGCCTTGACATCATGACGTCACGTGACGATGTGACACATGGCTAATCATAGTGCCAATAAGAAAGCGCCGCAGAAAACCAGGATTTATTATACATTGCAATACTGTATACGACGATTTGATCAATACGTAGAGGAATACACGTGCCAATTTTTTATTCCCAAATAATAAATTTGTAATACTAACAACAAAAAAAAATACCGTGAACCGTTTTGAACCGGTTACCGTTATATTTTTTTCCGGTTCAGTTCCGGTTCAGTTCCAAGATGGCGGCGAAGATTTCGGTTCGGTTCAGTTCCGGTTCGGCTAAAAATAACGGTTCCGTTCCGGTTTTCGGTTCGGTTCGGTTCCGGTTCGACACCCTGATGGGAGCTTCATATTCAAGGTTGCTTGCATTTACAATGCAGAAGAGCCATAAAGAAGAAATTGGTCACCTTTGAACACTGCGAAACGAGCCTCCTGGTATCCTAAGTTCTGAAAATATCCGTCGTCAAAAACATTTATACACATGCATATTAGATGCTGTAGATTATGTGACACCGAGATACACAATATCTGCGCAGCATGTTGGCATTTACGTTGTAGCACCACAAGATACCCAACAGACTGCTACAAGGACACCGATTATCTGCACACACACACACACACAGATCGACCGACTTCAGAGAGCAGTTGCCTTTGCATGAGGATGAAGCGCAAGCATGTTGCTGGCCGGACACAAACTAATTTGTTTATCCTTGACCTCTTAGCGTATCTTGCAACAAAGGTTTCTCAGTTGAAAGTTTTCACTGCAGTCCAACACATGCTTCAGCTCGAACTCACGATGGGTTCATCATCACAGGCGTCAGACATACTCTTCCTTGATCCAAATTCGCTTCTTTGCAACCGTGACGGTTGGCAACGAGTGTCTTTGATCGAGTTTCAGCTTTTCATTTCTTCTGTTTGGCATTCTTGGCATTAATGCAAACATTCATTTCGCTACAGCATTTACACCAGCTCTGTCTTCCTGTGCGAGCAAACTGTAGCCAACTTGTTTCGTGCTGTCGATGCGGCCTTGCATTTTTCTCCCCTTAGGTTTTTCAAGGTGGTGTAGACTGCACAGCTGGCCACATAGCCCAAGGCCGGGAGGCTGTGCCTTATTTTTTTACAGCCCAGGGCCACATTGCAGGTAGGGCGTCAAGTATCCGCTCGCTTGGGAAGATCTTTCTAGTTTCCATTCCTAGCTGTAGTGACCGTTGACACTGTGCTCCACAGCAGTATTCTGTTTTCATCTTCGCAAGTGTGCCTTGTAGACACGTGATATTCGAAGCAAGCCAGTTGCCTATACAATCCAAAGTACTCTTCTAAGGTGTCAGTTTTCAGCTTGTCCCATAGAGGCCGTACAGTAGCCAGAGTTCGTCAAAGCAGTATCCGGGATGTGTGACCGCTTCTGCAGGAAATAGAACGAAAAAGGAGGAAATTATATTAACCTAAAGAAAGGTAATGTAATCAAAAATAATTATAAAAAGAAAAAAAAAGAGAATGCTCTTCTTTAAGCTGAAATGGTTCCGTTCCGGTTCCGTATTTGACAGAAAACACTGGCAGTGTTTCGATCTGGTGTTTTGGATCACAAACATCAAAATTATTCTTGAATGTGATGTGACGAATGCGCTATAATAATAATAATAATGCTTATTGCATGAGCACATAGAACCAGGTACAGAAAATAATAATAATTAATAGGGCTTCCTGGTGTGTGGTGGGATTCCTTGGGGAGCCTGAAGCGGCTCCAGCTAAATCGTTAGTATATGGCTCTGGTGTACGGATAAGTAAACTGGTCAATGAACCATATTCCGGCTTGCGTGCACTCCAAACTGCAGCTCAGAGACCCGCTAAAATATCGGTCTTACTAGTTAGCTGTAGCGGATCATTTCTGCGCTCCGATGAGGATACGCAGAAACGACACAATGAACTTCTGTTGTTGTTGTTGTTGTTTTTTAATTGATGTGCTGGTTGCAACCGCGATAACCTATCGCTTGCGTACCTTGCGAAAACATTCCAACCTGAACTCATAAATCAAGTCATTGTTATTTAGTTCTGCACCTGCAAGTAGCGCCAGCACTTGAATATGTTGCTTTCAGGCCACAACCAAATCACTCCCAAGCATGCATTCAGCGAAAATTAAAAAAAAAAACGAAATTACGATCGTAAAAATTAAGAAGTTCTCACCCTGCCATGCCGTCAAGGAGCGAGATCTTCCCATCGATTCGCTGTATAGTCCACGCTCTCGTAGTCATCCTTGCAGAAACTCAAATATGGAAACTTTCACATCCAGTTTTCCGTCAAAGCGCGCATAAACAACATCTGCACGGAATGACAGCACCCGCAACGCCCACAACCGAAGAGCAGTTTCACCGTTTCACGTCCACACACGAGACCGCGAGAGCACATTCGGAAATGTGCTCGATCTCACTCGAGAGTTCAACCTCTGACCCTCGGCGTCCAAAAACCCACTCGCTTCCAGAGTTGTTCTTGTTGTTCTAGTTGATTCCTCCAGCCTTATTGTCACGTGACCCAACCCGCGGGGGCAAGGTTAGTATGTATGATCTCTATGGGAGCAAGTAACAAAAGCCGTCAAAGAAAAAAACGCTACAAACAACCGTTAAAAAAAAAATGAAAAAACAAAAAAAACGCAACGTTGTGGTTTTTTTTTTGTTTTTTTTTGCGCCCGTTTAGCGTAGAGGGAAAGGAAAAGTAAAAGAGAACGTGCATTGCAAAGAAGCCAACTGTCAAGGGGAGCCTTGCGGAGAAGCGCACTACCAGTTCAGCCTACTCATGCCGACGCTCCTTGAAGGGAGAGAGGGAAGCGCTGCGGCTTTCCGCCGTAACCACGCACGACACGACTACGCACGACCGCACGCGTCACACCGCCGAGTGGATTCTGTCGGATTGGATTCTGTCATATTGTCTGTCAGATTGGATTCTGTCAGATTGGATTCTGAGTACTTTTTTCTACCCTTTTCCACCTTTTCCATCAACCGCGATTCTCTAAACTGGTCGCGCACCAGTCACCTAGCTGTGTTTGGAGGTTGTGTTTGTCCTTTGTCCCTCTTGTTCCCCTTCTCCAGGGATTATTTTCATCATTCTTGTCTGCAGCTCGCTTGCACCTTTGCATTTAATTGCATTCTAATTATAGCCCCCTTTTCTCTGAACCGTGTTTCGGTGAAAAGGCTTTCTATCCACCGTAGTAAACCCGAGATCGAGACACCTGACAGCAGGAGGCGTTACCTAGCCTCCCATAACGATTTTAGTCAGTTTCCGGTTCAGCTGGTTAGCTTCCCATTGAAGGTGAACACTAGTCCATAATAAAAAAAAGGAAGACAGGAAAAAAGTATAATAATACCAGAGAGTTGTTAGTCAACGCTGCGTAAGCAACCGGCGGACTCTTCGTATACCTCCCATTGGGACTCCAATTGCAGACGGCAGCGCCAAATCTCCCCTAACGGGCGTTGGGTTTCTCCAAAAGAAATAACAAATAGACAAAACAATACGCGCACCGTCGTCATGGCAACCGCTTGGTTATGGGAGAGGGTGAGAGAAGTGTGTTCCCTCCTCTCCCTCTCTCTCACCCTCGGCGACAAAAAGATGCGAGTTCGTTCGGAGTTCGGAGCAGCCTCCGAACTCCGAACGAATTTGCATCTTATTGTCGCTGATGTTGAGAGAAGAGGGAACTGCTCCCATTGCCGCCGTCTCGTTCTTCTACAATACAATGTAATCTTTTTTAGAACAAAAAAAGTGTGTTTACCTTTTTTTGCGAATGTCCGACGCTTCCGAAACAATTGCACTTGACTTTGCCTCGCTCGATTGAGATCGGCTTAGCAACAGTGCATGTTCAGTGACAGCCAGTTCTCATAAAATTGTCAATGAATGAATGCAAAGCACGCCCAGCCGCTGCTGTTTAGCGGCTTAAGATGGGCGCACATCGCCAGTCTGAGCACAAGTCCAAACTTCTTTTGCAAGTTCTCTTTTTATTAGAAAAAAAACGTTCACTGCACAGCACAACAAAGTAACAAAATCTACACGAAACTACTATTCAAGTATTCACAGACCTGCAATCACACATTTAACTTTGCGGTAGTTAGCGACAGTGATTCGATCGCCGGGGTTTCTCGCAGGTTCCTTCTGCAGCGAGCTGCTCCACGCACGAGCTACCGAGCTGCGGTGCTCTAACACCGATACCGCCCACACCGCTCATTTTAAGATACATGCGCTGTCCCTTGTGACCCTTTACAATAACTCTTCCATAAAGAAACATGCACCAGCAAGTTTTCGGCAATCCGAAACTGTATAACCAAAAGTATAGCAGCCCGTCTTTACCTTTCGTCACTCGATCGGGAACCCAAAGAACTTGGCAGAGCTGTTGCCACTGGAATTAGAGCACCACTGAGTCGAGCAATGAACAAGGTTTCGTTTGCTCTGTGTACTAATAGCAGAAATAGACCGATAACCAATAGGTCAATGCCACTGTCCGCTGCCGCAAACGAAAACCACCACCGTACCGCTGGCACAGGCGCCGCCGAGCAGCCGACGCATCCGCGAGCGCGGCAGCCGACGCGCAACTGTTCTCAACGGTCAAAATGGTCAAAATACAAAAAACAACCGGCCAATGAGAGCAAAGTATGAGGGCGAAACTTAGCTAACCAAGATATTTGTTTCATCTTACCAGGATAATTTTTGAAATTTGTAAGTAGCAACAATAATATGTATCTCATCCTATTAAATAAACTTCCCGGCGTAAACCGGAAAGACTTAATAGAATACCAACGGATAAGAGATGGCGCTAAAATAGCTAACCGGAAGGCGCTCGATGTGTCCGCCGGTTGGCGTAAGTGTCTGTTTCTTTTGTGGGTGTGGCTTGAGTGACTGTTTTGCGAGTACACTGTTCCCCTGTGCTTAAATTTGACATGGCAGTTTTGCTAGAGATTTTCTATCAATAATGGCGCATTCGGGTGGTCAATCGCCAGCGAGGCCTTGTCGGTGGCACCGGCAACAGAAAACGCGCCATCAGCGCACCGCGCAACCATTTGCACCCGATACAAAGCGGCGGCAAATGGCGGTTTTTTTTTTTGTTTTTTTTTTTTTGTCTGGGTTGTCGCGTGCGCCTCAATTAATCTAGTACAATGAGCACGCTGTATGCTTCAACAATATAGATTTGGACCATTTGAGATGTGTGTAAACACAAGTGGCTTCACAATGGTTTTCGAAATATTAACATTACCACAGCCTGTACAGCTGACAGGATCTTAAATTACAAAATTAATGAAAGGGCGGATGAATAAATCAGTATGGTGCTGCCCGCAGGTGCGTCAAATTGTAATAAATTTTGTTTGGATTTCCGAGGAACTGTTGCCAGTTTACGAGCATCCCAAGGAGGCTTGCCAGCGTCGCTTTTCGAATTCTGTTTATTGTTATTACTTTTTTTTTTTTTTTTTTTTTTTTGCAGTCCTCAGATTTCTCAATGCGCCCAGCGCTCGTGAAATTACACGGTTGTAAACCAGAGTATGATGCAGCACGTGTCTCAAAGCAAACTGACCTTGCGCCAGCTGGACAAACTCTTGCAAATATGTTTGCTTTCTTTGAAACATAAATAATCTTTATCTTCATTGTTTTCGCTATCTTGTCTCAGAGCACAAATGGGTGTATGTCTTGATGGGTTTGTTTGCCACTCTAACCCGCTATTTGCCGCTTTCAGCGGGCATTGTTCTGTATCGTTCCCTTTTCCATTTCGGATTTAACGCTACCGGATACAGTCTGGCAGACAAGCTGCCCGATTTCTTGGAGCTTGAGCAAAAATTGTTCCAGTAAATTGCCGGCACACGCCTGAGAAGCACCACCCGAACAGCTTGCACCTGCCAGCCAGCCTTTAACCATGCGAACGCCCTTGCCGAAGATATGGCAAAATATTTTGCCGGGAAATAACTACCCGAATTGGCCATTATCGAGATGGCAACATCAGCACCAAATTTCAGCCAGAGCACTCTTTGTTGTTTCTTGAGCTTGCATGGACGGCGGCTCGATTGCGTCTTGCGTTGTTTTCTGACCAGGGTTATGGTGTACTAGAACAGGGAGGTGTGCGGATTGCATCTACCTTTCCATAAGTGTTGGGCATGGCCTCTGAGAAAGAGCGAGAGAGAAAACTTTTATTCAGGCCGCCCATGTCCAGGCAGGGGGTCCTAGAGAGTGGGATCCTCCCAGGAGGCTTGGTGGGTCAGGTCGGAGCTTGGGATAGCGTTGTTAAAGTTAAGGCATGACTTTCTCCACGGAGTTTATTTCAGGCTTTCCACGTGCCTTCTACGTGATCTATGGCGCCGTACCAGCCGCCATAGCTTCATACCACGTTCCTATGACACCACCATCTGCAGCATGCATTTCTCACCATAGAATTTGTCCTTCTCGGTAATCCTTGCCGATAAGAACTAATTTGATGATGCCAAATGAATGCCGCAGAAGATACGGGCGCAGGAGCATGGTACGGAGCAATTGGGGCTGTTGTGACGTCGGTGTAAGCCATCTAAAATGAGCCCCCCGACCCAAGAGCAGTCCTTCCTTATTAGTCACACTTTGGAGATGAAGGGTAGCTGAAAGAGGAAAGAGGTGGGAGTCGCCCTTTAAGTCTGTAACTACTAACAACACTACACCTTATGCGCTGCCAGCGCCACCGGTCCACGGCCTGAGCAAGTAACGTATATTTTCGTAACAACCTTGTTCTTGAGGATTGACAGTCATGCAGGGGTGCCTGGACATGTAGTGGCCCGTTTGGTGCAGTGGAAAGAAAATGGTGCAAAGGTTTCGAATCCAAAGGTGATGTTGACTGGATACCCCTCGAGACGTGTTTTCATAAGTGACTAGATTATAGTTTCCACAAATTCCACCAGTGTAGCGGTCGCCAGGAAGATATTACCCGTTCTTATGATATAAGAACTAGTACCCGGCTTGTGCGTGCACCGCAACCAAAAAATATTATTCCTTGATTTCCGCCTGCTGATGTCATAAAAGTGTAATGTGCTATCGCCGGCCGCAATGCTGGCGACGTTACATCGGCTGTACTGGATGTGGCAGAGCCATACTTTGCTGCAGGTTGTTTTTCAGGCTTAACAGTGCACAGAAGCTGCAGCAGCCACGAGTTGGTTTCGCACGACATCAGTGACAGTCACATTCGATCGTGCTTTTCGCCAGCATTTCCACGAACCGCCATGATCGCGACATCTGATGTCATAGCACCCCAGGTCCTGGGATGTCATTTGTGAAGCTTGTGCGTATGCGGCGTGCCAACAGCTGCGTCACCGCAGTGGCATTAGTGCTGTGTGTTGGTGCGCACATCTACTCAGATAAACAATGGCACAGACGGCCTCCATTTCTATGCTACATTGTAGACGCGCGGAACTCCACGTGTGCGCCAAATTGACTTCACCCTTGCCCGGCGAATGCGCTAAAACTTCCTAACAAAAAACTAGTTTTCTTTTTTTACGATTATTACATGTTCTATTGACGCACAGCTGATTTTATCTTCGGATGTCGCGGATTTTTTTACCAAGTTTTTCTTTTAACCAGCAAAATCGCCACACACGTTGAGATGAGCGGGCAAAGTGGGCTGCGGCGCTTGCGCAGCATCTTCAGGCCGGGACTTTTCAAGAACAAAGTGGCCGTGGTAACAGGAGGAGCAACGGGGATCGGGAAGGCCATCACTGAGGAGCTTCTCTATTTGGGTATGTAGGCATGCTTTTTATTGCGCTTCAATCCAAAGTCCAAAAGCGAAAATGTCTTACTTAAAAAAAAAAAAAAAAGCACGTCACACTTTTGTCAAACGGCAAAATTTCATATCATTCCCGCTGAATGATGTTCCGCATACAGCTTGGAGGGTCGCACTGCATGAGTGGCGCGTGTTGTTTACTCGTCGGAGTATTATTTGATGGAAATGTAATTAAAGTGTGCCATGTGCAGGGGTACAGCATTCTATTTAGAATAAGACTAGACACATCTTTGTGTCTACTTCTAAAAGAAAGATTAAAGTTTAATTCCATGTACTGGCTTCCTGCTTTACATCATAATTTCCTTTAGAAGCCATTGATCGTGACAATTCCATAATGAACTGCAGTGTCATTGGCGATGGGAACAACACGGGCCAGTCAAGTCACCGAGCTCTAGTACCATTTGCTAGGTTTGTCATGCCCAACATTCTAGAACATTTGCCCCCTGCAAAATCTTAACTACTCTCCGTAAAACGTAAAAAGAAATATTGATTTCAGATAAACAACTTTAGACATTGTTATGTTCCACGGATTAAGTTTTGACCGCATAACACAATATTAAATATTCTTTTTAGAACATCAGCCACGGATGCCCATGTTTTATTCCTAATTTACACGGAAAAAAAACAAGTATCAGTGTTTTGTTCTTCTGCGTGTTTTATTCTGTTTATTTCTCTTGAAAGTGTACGGGTTGGTACGAGCGTGTGCCAGTACCAAAGCCTTGGTTGTTTCTGGAAACAAGACAAAAAAGTAAATAAATTAATAAGACCTAGAATTTGTCTTAGAGCGCAGCTCTTAGGCGCCCGTTCCCGGCTTGAGCGGCGTCGCCGTCGCCGTCGGCGTCGGCGTAACCGCGCGGTGCATTATGGGTAAATTTCCCCGCTAGATCTAGCGGAAAATTTTCCCCGCTAAATATAGCGGAAAAAATTTCCCCGCTAAATCTAGCGGAAACATTTCCCCGCTAAATCTAGCGGAAAAATTTCCCCGCTAAATCTAGCGGAAAAATTTCCCCGCTAAATCAAGCGGAAAAATTTCCCCGCTAAATTTAGCAGAAAAACTTTCCCCGCTAAATCTGGCGGAAAAACTTACCCGCTAAATCTGGCGGAAAAATTTACCCGCTAAATCTAGCGGAAAAATTTCCCCGCTAAATCTGGCGGAAAAACTTCCCCGCTAGATCTAGCGGAAAATTTTCCCCGCTAAATCTAGCGGAAAAAATTTCTTCGCTAAATCTAGCGGAAAAGTTTCCCCGCTAAATCTAGCGGAACATTTTTCCCGCTAAATCTAGCGGAAAAATTTCCCCGCTAAATTTAGCGGAAAAACTTTCCCCGCTAATTTTAGCGGAAAAACTTCCCCGCTAAATCTAGCGGAAAAAACTTCCCCGCTAAATCTGGCGGAAAAATTTCCCCGAGCGGAAAAACTTCCCCGCTAGATCTAGCGGAAAATTTTCCCCGCTAAATCTAGCGGAAAAAATTTCTCCGCTAAATCTAGCGGAAAAATTTCCCCGCTAAATCTTGCGGAAAATTTTTCCCACTAAATCTAGCGAAAAAATTTCCCCGTTAAATTTAGCGAAAAAAATTTCCCCGCTAAATTTAGCGGGAAAACTCCCCCGCTAAATCTAGCGGAAAAAATTCCCCGCTAAATCTGGCGGAAAAAATTCCCCGCTAAATCTGGCGGAAAAATTTCCCCGCTAAATCTAGCGGAAAAATTTCCCTGCTAAATGTAGAGGAAAAATTTCCCCGCTATATCTAGCTAAAAACTTCCCCGCTAGATCTAGCGGACAAATTTCCCGCTAAATCTAGCGGAAAAATTTCCCCGCTAAATCGAGCGGAAAAATTTCCCGCTAAATCTAGTGGAAAAAATTTCCCCGCTAAATCTAGCGGAAAAAATTTCCCCGCTAAACCTAGTGGAAAAATTTCCTCGCTAAATCTAGCGGGGAAATATTGGTCACATGACCCCCTTCCGAGGTCACGTGACCTCGGGGGGGCACGTGACTCCCCCTCCACGTGGACCCCCTCCCCTGAGGTCACGTGACCCCAACAAGGTCACGTGCCCTCGGGGGGGGGGGGGGGGGGGGGGGTCATGTGTGACCCTTTCCCCTATGTCACGTGACCCCTGAGAAACCGTGGCCCTCAGTACCCTTCCCTCCTCCTCCTCAAGAGCTGCGCTCCAATTCGGCGTTACAGGGAGTGGTAAACGGCTTTCACTTTTTTTACATTGGTTCCTATGAAAGAGCTTTGCAATATCATGAATTTCTTCCTGCCATAATCAATGAAGGTAATATTCCTGAAGAATAATATAGTGTCGGACTCCTATCACACATCTTAATTAGCTGCAGAAGTGTGTTCTGTTCACTGTAGAAATCTCAGTTGAATTTTTTTTGTTTTTTTTTACGCAAAAAGGTTTTATTTATTGGGAATAGAGAAATGCTCGGCATTGCTGCTTTTGTTCCCAGGATACACAACTTTCCATCACTTGAAATTTTCAATTCAATATTTGTCTTTTTCACATAGAATGCTCAAGAATCTTGTAACTTATTGTAAACGACTTAATTTTGGCGAGGACCTAATTTTCACGAACTGTCTACAGTTCGCGAAAAATAGGTCCCGCAAACAATTCCGGTAAAATGAAAACACATTGAGATTTATATTGAGATGGCACCGCATTGCGAAAATTAGAACCCGCGAATTATTCCAAACCTTCAGCTTTGACCTAAATTGCGAAATATTGAGCCCGCGAAAAATAAGTCCTTTGCAGTATTGAATTCCAAAACAGCACCTGGAATTCTTAATTTTCCAAGCTGAGAACACTACATTAAATTTCAAGTACTTTCCTAAATGTTTCCTCGATGTTCCCGGTTGAAACTGCCATCAAAAGTTTGTTTTGCTTAATCATTATAAGCCTGTGCTTCTCAAACAAATAATGAGACATTTTTCCTAAGCAGTCACATCAATATTTATCGCATTGATATTCGGCTCGAATAAAAAAAAAAAAATTAAGTGATCGGGTGTGTTTTTTTTGTTTTTTTTCCGAAGCTATTGAGCCAAACTTATTTTATGGAAGCATGCACATGCATTCACGGCTCTGACTTCACGTAACCACAGTGCGTGTCATCACTACGCTTGCGCGGACGCTTCACCCAATGCTGTCTCTGCGCACACTCTTTGCCCACGCCCGGCGTGGTCAAACATGGGCTCGTTTGTTAACGGCACTTTGGTCTATACCTGGTGTTCAGAAGAATAGGGAGCCATGCTTTTCTCGGTGCTAAAATAAACTATGTCTCGCCAAACGCTCAGTCTCTGCCCAAACGTAGCATATGTGTGTTTTGGCAGATGCCAAAATTTTTGAACCCGTGTTATTATTTTATACAAATATTATAAGCGATTTTGCGGAAACTTTTAATTAGGCAGTAGGATCCGTTCTCGGTAACAGGCGTCATTCCTCTTCATGTTTTCGCGGGCTCCGTTGACCGCCATTTCATGATCCGTAATTTCAGGAAATTGCTTCTATGTTTTCAATCAGGAAAAAACAATCTGAAACTTTTCCTGTGGGGCCTCAAGCACTGGTTTTACATTTGGGCAAAGAACGAGCGTGAAGGAACATGAAGCCTAGCCAAACACCGATGCGAAGCTCGTGTCCATTCCAGTTCGGAATCACGACGTTGAAACCTGAAAGGAGTTGTTTTAACCGCGTCCTCCAACCCAAAACCTACTAGAATTACGGTGGCCTGCAAACGTCCTCCTCTTCTTCCATGGAATGTCATGAGAGTCGGAGTGCGCCAACTCAACGACTGAACCCGAACCCGACGCTGGGCGTCTCAACACGTCGATTGGACAGGAGGCAAAGCTGAAAGCTTACGTAGCACTCCTTTACGTCCAGTCGTGTCTTTGCTTGATCGCACTGTGATGACATCAAATTTCTAATGCACAGGTTTTGATTGTTCTAGGTGGTGCTGCCCTCATAGCCCGGTCTGGTGGTTGGACATGTAACGTGACCAATAGATTCATGATGGCCGTTAGCATAGCACATATCTGCCAACGCCGGGCACTCTCGTTGTGTCGTTATGATGGGGAGCACTGTAGACTACACTCTATAAACAAATAATATTTCATTCCAGGTTGCAGCGTCACAATAGCCTCTAGAAACGAAGAGAACCTGAGGAGCGCTGTCAACGATATGCGAAGCGGACTATCGCACCAAGACGGTCAGCCTCGCATCTCCTTCATAACCTGCAACGTTCGCAGTGAGGAACAGGTAGGTAAGGTAGTACCACCGCCTTGGTGATACTACAGTGGTTTAAAGGGGAACGGAAACCAAATTTCGGGGTTCATCTTTTCGCTTTAACTTGAAGCAGGATAAAGTAGGATTCCACTAATACCAATATCTCGTAGGAAAACGCAAGAAAACATGTTTGACACTAAATAAAACGATAACCGAAAAACCCCTTGTGGATGTCTGTGAACCATCGATGTAATGTCGCGATGCAATTAGGTCAGCAAGAGCAGCGCCACAACGGAAAGTGCGTTCACTCATCGAGATTACTTAGGCCTGAACGCGGTACCGAGGGGCTTTGGTTTTGAAAGCCACAGCAGAGGTGGCCGCCATTGATTTCAGTTTAGGCTGCCTTTTGCGGCAACGCTTAATTTAGGGAGGTTTCGGGCTCGTCCGTGGATTAGGAATTGCGACCGTACGATGTGATGTCGAGGATACGAAATGCCGATTTAAACGGGCCCGAATGCCCACGTTTGCCGATGACGGGGTAACTGCCTTGGTCGACTGCCGCACATACTTGGTTGCGACGAAGTCGGCACAATTGCCATCGTTCCTGAATGGAGACGGTCCGAACAGCTCTGCGAAAAAATAAATCGTCGCAGCGCTTATCGTGGCCTCTGAGAGGAGGGAGGGAACTGACGTCCAGGAAGATACGTTTGAACTACAAGAGTGTCAGCAAGAGACAATCAAATACCTCTTCAGTGAGCGGAACCGTGCTGTGGGACTTCGTCTTGGTAACCGCTTCCGGAATAATATCTTAAAATAGATTACGTGAACTGCTAAGACACTAGGAAATCGCATTTGGATTCCGATGTTCCCCTCGGTAGAAGAATATTGGACCGGCATTGAATATCTTCCAACAACTCCTCTAACTGTTGGCCTACCGTGATGTCGGATTAAAAGAAACCTACTAAAAAGTGTATGTACCCATGTTGCAAATGCAGTCCATAAGAAAAGTATTTAAGCTCTACAACACTCAAAAAAGAATATAGAATCGATGAGAGTGATTCTTTTCAATGAGAGCGTTTGCCACCGCTGCGGCTGTAAAGAGAATGATGAGGGGATGAGACTTGCTTTCCTTGCATGAAAATAGAGGTCAAATTTCAAGCTATATTTGTACGAAAAGGGTCCGCAAAGGTCGCGTGGGCAGATGGTCTGGGCCAGGGTTGTAGGAGTGGTCGTCGGACTAACGTCGCGTCGAAGTTTTATAATGAACCAAATAGATGATTTTTGTCAGAACCTTGTTGAAGTTTGCCTTGTTATTTCAAATCCTGTGGCTCCGATCATGATTTATTTGTTATTATAATGACCGCTCTCTTTGCAATTTCCTTTTTCACGCGTGTCTTTCTTTTGGTGGCAATCGACATGTCTTTCACCCGGCAGTGCTGTGGGGCACTACTGCCAAGGCTGTTGATATTTATGTATCTGAGCATGTATTTTAAATTTATGTTGTACCACTCATGATAAATCCTTGAAACAGGCGAGCAGTATGAATAAATCGTAAGAAAAAAGTGTCTTGCTAGGTCTAGCATTTTTTTGTGGCTGCTTGGTCAGCGGAATTGCCGTCGTTGTAGTTTTTTCTGGGTATCCGTGGTTCCAGCGTTTGTCTCCGCGGTGTTCAGTTGCTCGGGCTTAGTTTCAATTACATATTTTTTTATCTTTCTGCTTAAAGTCGGGACGCGACCAAGGAGTACATTGAAATGCCCGGTTGTGGTCACGACGGCGGTAGCCAGCGATGTCGTTGGCCATGTGGATTTGATCATAAAAAGTGCATAAGTCAACTCTGGAGCTGTTGTAGGATTTCATCGTAACTTAGGCATAACTTACGATAATTTCACTGCGTGAATAAGGATTGGTTCTTCGATTTTTCGTACATACGTACCTTTCTTGTCGTAAAATTGTTTTCTAAATGAGCTCTACCCTGTTGCGGATGACGGGGACAAGGAGGACCGATCACACAAGCAGGGCTGTAGACCGACTCGCTTTTGTCAGTCATGGTCACTAGTGATGTGGCGGCGTCTCCACACTCATTAATGTCATCGTGCCCATCGCTCTCTTCGCGTTGGTCGGCCATCACAGACGTGAGGCAGCTCTGCAGACTTTGCAATCCGCCTGTGTTATGTTACAGCCATCGGGGACCAAACAAGCTGGCTTATTATTGGCAGTTTGTCGTCTAACGCTGAGTCATTCGAACTTTATTTAGTAGCCTTCTGGATTCTTCGCAGTTGTCTATTAAATACGAGTGCTGTCTTATTGATGAAAGATCTTGGTTGAGGTTCGCGGTAGGCATCCATGCGTCGATCATCCCACGTCAGGGATATTGCATCAAGCATGCCATCTTATTTTACTGACTGGCCAAATGTCTCTTCTACAACACTCTAAGAAATGTCTGCGCGTCTACTAACCCGCAAAACACTCAAAGAGCCAATCTCTGCGATCTACGAAATCAGCTCAGCGAATGATGAGGCGGAACGTCTGTTTAGACCTCAAAATTAAGTCTGCGCTGTTGCATTACGCAATGCAAGCGTAACACTTTGTATTGCATAATGCCACAGCAGAGACTTCATTTTTTAGAGTGTATTTTTGCATGGATGTTTATATCCGGACGAGCCTTGCACCAGTGTGTTGTCTTGAATGCGCGATGAACGTTAAGACCCGATATTACAAGTCACAATGTACTGACAGAACTGCCCTTCTAAATTGTGGACCAGTGTTACCAAACCACATGAGTACACCGAACTCGTATACTGTTTAAACATTCACCGAACAATTGGCTTTTTTTTTTGTACTTCACATACACAGCAAATACTAGGAATAGAGTGTGTGAGGGGGGGGGGGGGGGGTTATTAGCTGGTGCACCTGAATAGTGTCCAGCCTAAGACTGTGAAGATAACATGCAAGGCGTGTGAAACGGTCATGTCCTTCCTTTTTCATCATTTTGACCAGGTAAAGAACCTAATTAGCCGGACACTGGAAAGTTATGGCCGCCTCGACTTCCTGGTCAATAATGGTGGTGGCCAATTTCTATCGAAGGCAGACCAAATCTCGTTAAAAGGATGGAATGCTGTCGTCGATACCAACCTAACTGGGAACTTCCTCGTCTCAAGAGAAGGTAGGGACACACCTTTCTTTCTAAACAAAAAGCGAGCTGAATTTATTCGGGCATAATTTAATCTTAACCTACGAAGGAAATTCCATCAGCAGGGCCTTTTTACTTCAAGGTGCAGCTCGCTTGAAGGATCAGTCCTTCGCACCTCGTACATAGCCCGCACCCGGTTCTGCATAGCACAAAGTTCATTGAAAGCACACCTTGAATTATGCCTGCTTTACTAGCTCTAAAACAAGCTTCTATTATGTGTAAATTATCATTAGCAGATACTGTTCTTTGCAAAAGTTTCATGTCTCTTTGTAACAGACAACCTAGAAAACAGATCTCTGCATAGTCCACGGGTAGATAAATCGCACCGCATAAATGTTTACCTTTGCCTGCCAACTATAGTATGGAAAATACCATAGGCTAAAGCGGATTATGAGTGTTAGTGCAATGCAGGCTATCTGTGACTTTGGTCCGTGGCCTGCAGGGTGTCACGAGAGGACCTTGAGCTGTGAAACGAGGCGGAAAAATTGATGCCTATAGACCCTTTCAGGCAACATTTCATGGGCGCCGCCATCTTGACAGCACGGGACCCTGCCGCCATAGCCGACCTTCAGTTTCTCGCTGTTGCTCCGCGTTGTGTGCTGCACCGGCCACCACCGGAGCTTTGTTTTCATGTTCTTTTACGTTCCGCGTTGAAATCTTGTATTTTCTTTAGGTCGTTTTGATATTTCGGGCTTTCACTTAGTCATTTGATATCTATATTTCAACATATATAGTTCTTGTATTTTCCTACTTATGAAATGGAATCGGACAGCGAATAGATCGATGATACAAGATTATGGCCTAGGCTTCAGAGACCATGTAAGTTCATCACATTCATTCGTTTTTGTCGCTAATAAAGGGCAGTCAACACCATTGCGACATATGGAAATTTTAACTGACGCAGTAAGGCTATCGCAGTCGTGATTCTGGCTGCATCTGCGCGCTTTAGACATCGTTTCGGTAAGTAAAAGCCGAATCGCATGTAAGCGATTTAGCGAGCGACGGCAACAACGACAAAAGTCAGCGACGAAGATTTCTGACTGCCGCCCGTCGCGTCGCTCGGTTTTTGGATTTATAGAAAACGGCGCTCACCGTCTTGGTCCCTCGCTCCCGTCACTTCCATGCGGTTTGCCTCATCGCGCTACTGACCGAGCGACAGCGAAGCGGGTCGCCGTCACTTGTCTTGTTCCTTGCCAATTCGCTTGCATGCTGGGATTACATTTCCCATGTATTTTGTCAATAAAGGCAACGTGGGCGTTATTTTGTTCACATGCCGCTACAAGAAGCTTGTTACATGGCATGTAAACAGCGTCTCGGTAAGGATCATGGCCCGGGGCCTGTATTTCACCAGGGGGCGGCACGAGCCCCAATGCCCCCCCGTAGTCTACGCCTGTGGTGTTGACTGCCCTTTATTAGCGACAAAAACGAATGAATGTGATGAACTTACATGGTGTCTGAAGCCTAGGCCATAATCTTGTATCATTGATCCATTCGCTGTCCGATTCCATTCCATAAGTAGGAAAATACAAGAACTATATATGTTGAAATATAGATATCAAATGACTAAGTGAAAGCCCGAAATATCGAATAGACCTAAGAAAAACGCAAGATTTCAACGGGGAACTTGAAAGAACACGAAAGCAAAGCTTCGGTGGTGGTCGGCGCAGCACACAACGTGGACGAAGGGCGAGAAACTGAAGGTCGGCTATGGTGGCCCGGAAAGCGTGTGGAGGCCGCGCCGACTAGTGGCAGCTCGAGTAGCTGACTCCCTGAAAGCGTCTATATAGAAACACCTAAACTTTCACCGAATGTGCACTGAGTGGGTAAGTGTTACAGTGTGAAATTGCAAAGCCCAGTTTTCTCTCTGTAAACTATTAGAGCAAAAAAACTCCAGAGTCAATGTTTGGTGCATTCCCTGATGACCTAGCGACGCCATGTGCTTGTGGCGCCATCTATCGATAGACGCAGTAAGCAGACAACAAACTGCTTAGTCTGCTTGTTGTGCCTATCGGGAGAAGGTACCATAGTCGCGTCGCTAACTCCGTCGTCTGCAAACGTGCCGAACTTTGACTTTGAAAAGTTTTTACACGTCATTCTGTGCAGAAAGATTACTGCGCTTTCAAAGATTACAGGAAAAAAAATAACCTGCTCAGTGCACATTCAATGAAGGTTGGAGCATTATATGTGCAGGCGCCAATTTTTCCGGCTCGTTTTACTGCGGAAGGTTGGCTTAGGATAACCAATAAATGAGGTTTGAACATGATTCCTACCTCCACATCTGCAGCAGAAGCGCCTTAAAAAGCATGTCCTTGTGTTGGTCGCCTTTTGAAAAGAGGACTTAGTTTGTAAATTTGTGCACAATGATGAGCCCCAGTGAGGTCCCCGCTGCTTAGGGCTCTGCTATGAAAAAATACTACGACCTGCGATAATTCAAATTTGATTAGTTGTGCTGTGCTTTTCCAAACTGCACATTCTACACTTACATGAGAACTCGACATTAATTTTGAGGTTTGCTGTCACACATCAGAAAACATGCGTACATGAGCAACTTCTGGTGCACAATGCAAAACGTGCAATTCATAACCTTGTTCTCATGTCTTAGGACCACAAACGGGATAATGAACAACAGCAGAAATTGTAATTTCAGGACTATATTCGCGACTCCAGCGACCTATAGGGGGCGCCACCTCCAAACAAACATGGCGGCTGGGTCCAGGTCGCGTCGGCTCGGCTCGACCGCCAAAACGGATGGCGCATTCAATTTAACACATTTTCTCTTCTTCAGTGCCTAATTTCATAGGTATTTGAACTGCAACGGTCAAGTGTAGCTGGTGCACATGTTTTCCCAGTGTTTTTTGTTCTTTTCGTGTCAAGCTTTCGTTTCGGAGATTTCGTTCAAAACCGAAATTATGGGCTCTAGAAAGACGGTAATAGACTTTAATCAGTTTTGATCAGCTAAAGAAAACGGCGATGACTACAGAACTGTTCCACCGAGAGTGATCTTCAGCTAACTCGCATGTCTGAACCATGCGACTTATCGGTCCGCGAAAGCGAGCTTTTGTGCGTATCCGTGTTTAAGAAACAGTTTCAGTCGTCTGCTCGGTCAACAACATAGGCTGCAGGAAAATTACGAAAATTAAGCAAGTGCTTCTTGAGCCAAGGAACATGTTAACCCGCCGGCGCCCTACGAAGCAGCTGATACTCGTATTTCAATTCAGGTTTTAGTAGCAATCGAGAAGTCATTTTGATGAGCGGGTTATGTATTATATTATGTACTATGGTCCCACTAAAGGCAATACGTATTCGTATATTCTTCAGGCTGAAATACAAGCTTAGTTGACTAGCTATTAAGTGAACTGCTGAGTAAAAGAATATTTGTGAGACAGAGAGACACTACTTAAACTCAGCCAAATGGTTCTAGCCGGTAGCAAGGAGACGAATGCGGACAAACTGAAGAGAGTCTTCATCAAAGATTCACGCAGAACCTCTCTGCATTGAACTTGACTGTGAATCCTGAACGGAGAAAATAAGTATTTTTTTTGCCCGGTCAACCTGAGCAATATAGACGTATATTGCTGCTGGCTTAAACGGGGGTATGATATAAATATTGGAGGGCGCGATAGGTCATAACTTCTAACTTGGCAAGTCGCTTCCCCCACGTTTTGAACGCAGACAATTTCCCTCATTAACCGCATGCAGCAAGCAGGTTTTCAGGAATCAAGTAATTACGAAATCAGCTCAACTCCTTCAGTGTGGTCCAGAGGTTTTTCGGCGAAAAGCAGCCAAGGTAAATAGCCAACGCACCGACCAGTGTGGGTGGCTCAAGCTAGAAGCTAATCAAACACAACCAAACTCAAGAGAAGCAGCTATCGAACCTTCCAGACAACACAAAGACACCCTATGCACATCCTCAGGATGTCCAAGTTGGGATGACTGGACATCCTCAAGTAGTCCCCAACTCATCCTCAAGCAGTCCAAACAGGATCCATTTGTTCGTCCATTGCACATCCTTCGTATGTCCTGGGTAGGCCCCCTCAGGACATTCTTCGTTCATTCTCAGGACATATTTCATTTATTATTTCATTTCATTTATTATACCCTTATAGCGCCCGGTAGGGGCTTTACATAAGGGGGGGCAAAAACAACAATACAGATACAAGTCAACAAGAGTTAGGAATGTTTTCCTCCTTCCGCTCTTTTTTACATATTGTGAAGAGTGGCAATTGCGGAACAAAATCTAATGGGCTCTTTTACTGTCACGATGTCGTCGGGGAGGGAATTCCAGTTTGATATAAATAACTGTAAGGGAGAAAATTTGAAAGTGTTAGTTCTAGGAGTGGCAAGCTGAAGTTTCTGTGAGTTGTCTGTGCGTGCCGAGACATGGAGGGCAGCTGGGCACAATTTTTCTTTCTTTGAGGGTGAAGGATATTGCATGTGATGAAGGGCAGTTAGTCGTGTTATTTTACGTCGGTCAGCAAGAAGGGGTATATTAGTTTGTTGTTTTAGTGTTGTTCTACTTGTACGGGTGTAATTGCGGAGAACGAAGCAGATGGCACGGTTTTGAATGGCTTCTAACTTGTCAATAAGATATGACCGATGCGGGTTCCAGATGAGAGATGCGTATTCCAGCTTGGGACGAAAAAGAGATGTGTATGCAATCAGTTTTGTTTCCCGTGTTGCCAGGTGTAAGTGACGTCTTAAAAAGCCTAAAGTTTGATTAGCCTTTGCCGTGACGTGGTTAATATGAGGTTCCCACGAAAGGTTGGGCGTGAAATGAAGTCCAAGATATTTATATGTATGAACATTTTCTATGGGAACACTGAAAAGGGTGTAGTTAAATTGTGTTGATGCGTGTTTATTATTGAAGTTCAGATATTTTGTTTTGGAAACGTTAATTTGCAACTGCCACTCTTCACACCACGCCTCAAGACATGTCAGATCACTCTGCAAAAGCGTACAGTCATCCAGGCCCT